AGGCTTCTATGGACTTTCGAGCCCGGCCTCGATGGGATCGAAGCACAGGCACAACCCAAGGCTCGTCCTTGAAGCATTCGCTTCGGCAGGGCATATCGAAGACTCATCATGGCATACCTCGAGGCAGCATGAAAATCGACGACCGTCATGGAAAGGCGGAAAACTCCCGATGGCACGCGATAGGGACTGACAGAGTCTGCAAGAATAGTACGAACGCATACTGAGCCGTTATACAACTATACCAATAGCTTTTCCTCGTCATTATTAGACATGTATCATCATTATTAGACATGTACCATGTTGGGATTCTCCCCTCCTATATAAAGGGGACCCTTGTCATTTTGTAAGGACACTACAACATATTGAATACAATACAACATTCTCTACTCTTCTGTGAACGTGCTCAAACAATTGTTCTACACATTTATCGCTTATTCTTTCATCATTCATTCATTGTTCATTCATTGTTCTTCATTTATTGCTCATTACTAACCGCAAAAGGCTATCTTTGAGGCCTTCATTATCATTGTTTCTTCATTAGTAGCTCATTGCCAACTACCCATACTACCTCGAAGCTTCTGTTCCATCCAGCTCGAGGCTCGATTTTGTGATAGCTTTTGGTTTGCATTTCTTATTTTCTTTACCTACACTTAGCGTCTATTGCTTAACAACTAGTATTAAAATAAATCACATATTCTTAGAACCACAAAATCAAATATAATTGTCATTACCATTTTCAAGGTAAACAGTTTGGCGCCCACCATGGGGATAAAAATAATAGTGGTTGTTTTGGTGTTAGTTTTCTGAAAACACAATTTATTCTTCACACTTTTTCTTGTCCAAGAATCTCTGATTTTAGGTCAAAATGTCTAACTTAGCAAATGCACGCGAAGACAACGGTATTGGGCTTCATGGAGAGAACGATACAGATGTCGGTGTACCACCACGAAACCCAGGGGAGGCACCAACACAAATCCCTATCAATGTAAGCTCACGTAACACTGTGATGTTGATGTAAGCTCTCATACCGACGGAAGTATGCGTGGAGAAAACCAACATGAAGCACAGGGGACTCCAGTTCAGGAGGAAAGAGAAGTTAGCCTTCAAGTCATTTTTGAGATGTTACAAGCACAACAAGCGGTTGTTGCTCAGCTACAAAGTCAACAAAAAACTCCAAGCACAGCAGCACCGGAAACAGCTCCTTGAGTCGAGCAGGCACCAGAAAGATTGAGTAGCAACGGGTCAGCAGCAGACCCTGCTATTATGAAGATGCTCGAGGACCTCGCCAAAAGGATTGAATCAGGAGAAAAGAAGATTGAGGCTAATGACAAAAAGGTGGAGACATATAACTCGAGGGTCGATCAGATCCCGGGCGCACCTCCAATTCTGAAGGGCGTAGATTCAAAGAAGTTCATACAGAAACCATTCCTACCAAGTGCGGCTCCGAAGCCCATCCCGAAGAAATTCAGAATACCCGATGTCCCGAAGTGTTACGGGACCGCGGACACCAATGAGCACATTACTGCTTACACTTGTGCTGTAAAAGGGAACGACTTAAAGGATGACGAAATCGAGTCCGTCTTGTTGAAAAAATTAGGACAGACACTGTCAAAGGGGGCTATGATGTGGAATCATAACCTACCTCTAAATTCAATAGATTCTTTTTTCCATGTTAGCAGACTCTTTTGTGAGGGCACACGCTGGTGCCATCAAGGTCGCCACCAGGAAGTCTGATGTCTTCAAAATCAAACAGAGAGAAAACAAGATGCTAAGGGAATTTGTATTTTGCTTCCACATGGAGCGAATGGAGTTGCTACCGGTCTCTGATGACTGGGCAGTGCAGGACATCACTCTGGGCTTGAACGAACGAAGCTCGGTAGCCTCGAAGCAGCTAAAACAAAATTTGATCGAGTATCCCGCCGTGACCTGGGCGGATATGCACAACAGGTATCAATCGAAGATCAGGGTCGAAGACGACTAGTTAGGAGCCCCTTCAGGCTCAGTATATCCTAGCAGGCTTTTAGCAAAGGAACAAAGGTTTGCAGAAAGGGAGTCGAGACCAAACAAGGAAAGATACCAGCCGTGTGTAGAAGATCGAAGAAATGCCCCGAAGCGTAATGTACCTCGAGGCGATCGAAGGACAGATCGAGGTCGAATTTCCCGGGGACTCATGAGTGAAGCCGGGTTTGATAGGCACACTAGGCCGGTAGAGGCACCCTGGCTATCCGAGTACAATTCTAACGTCCACGTCTCGGGCATCGTATCAGCCATAGGTAAAATCAAAGATACCAGGTGGCCAAAACCCATACTGTCAGACCCTTCACAGAGGAGCCCTAATTTGGTATGCAAATATCGTGGCAGTCATGGTCATAGGACCGAGGATTGCATACAACTTCGAGAAGAAGTAGCACCACTGATCAGCAAAGGGAATCTCTGAGAGTTCCTCAGCGACCGAGCCAAAAACCATTTTCGGGAAAGAGAGGCAAAGAGGAAGAACGAACCAGAAGAACTATAGAACGTCATCAACATTATCATTGGAGGGGTCGACGCCCCGCAGGGACCCATTGTCAAGCGGACAAAAATATCCATCACCAGGGAAAAGCGGACTCAGGGTTACATATCGAAAGATACTCTCACATTCAGTGAAGAAGACATCGAGACCTTGTCTCAGCCTCATAATGACGCACTGGTAATTTCTTTTCTTTTAAATAAATTTGAAACTAAATGTGTGCTCGTGGATCCAGGTAGCTCGGCCAACATAATCAGGTCGAGGGTGGTGGAGCGGCTCGGACTGCTCGACCAGATCATACCCGCCTCTCGAGTCTTAAATGGATTCAACATGGCGAGCGAGACAACGAAAGGGGAGATCATCCTCCCGGTCAATGTGGCCGGTACAATCCAAGATACCAAGTTTCATGTTATCGAAGGTGACATGAGATACAATGCCTTACTTGGAAGGCCGTGGATAAATAGTATTAGGGCAGTGCCATCAACCCTCCATCAAATGTTGAAATTCCCGACCAAGGATGGAGTAAAAGCAGTGTACGGGGAGCAGAATGCAGTAAGAGAGATGTTCGCGGTGCACGACATGGCACCGGCATCGACGCCCCCTACCTCGAAGGAGCCAAAAGACAAGCAAACAGCAGGGTAACAACCACAACCGACATTCTCGGCTACATTCAAATAAGGGAAATAAAGACCGTACCGCGTCCTCGGAACAAGCAATTAAAACATATCGGGACTTGAACTCTATCATTGCTAAGGTACAACCTTCTCCCTTTTTATTCACGTTTTATACTAACTTATTGCAGGTGTTCAATGGAAAGGAATCAAAGCACCCTCCAACTCGAAGACCTTGGGTTTCAAAGCATGCGTTACGCTCTTTTTCCCTTAGACCGGGTTTTATCCCGAACGGGTTTTACCGGCAAGTTTTTACCGAGACAACATCCATATGCTACCTAAGGAGAACTCGTCAAGTATTCAAGGCTTCTCTTCGATCAACCTCAAATACTGGGGGGCATCATCCCGGGAGGTCACCTCACGGAAGAAATCGAACTATGCTTAGGAGGACCTCGATAGGAGAATATTGTATTGGGCCAAACGGTCAAATGAATCGTGTCCATACAGAATAATTGAGCTTCCAAATGCAAAAAACATGTACGCATATATCAAGTAATTGAGGAAGCCCCTTTTTCTTATCAAAACACTTTGTGCCTCAAAGAAGTTCACTACTTTCTCATAAGACGGCTCAAGGGCTAGAAACTCTCGAACACTCGGGGACCATCATCAACAGTGAGCTCATCGAACCATCGAAGACTCGAACTCGTAAGACCTCTATCAAGCAACCTCGAGCTCATAATCCCTCAGTGAGGCAACATCAAATCTGTAAGACCTCAACAAGGCGTGCTTAAATTTATAAGACCTTAAAAAGGCATAACCCTGATATTAAGGCCAAGGCTATATATTCGAACTTGTAAGACCCCTAAAAAGGCATACCCTCAAAATAGACGCCAAGGTCACCACACACGGGGACTAAAGGCTATGGCCAAACATAAAGACTACGGTCGAACTAAAAGGCTACGGCCGAATTAACGTGGCTCGGAGACGTCCGGCCGCCGTCACAAAACTAAAGGCCTTCAAATACTTCGAAAATACTTCGAAAAGAACCGGTTAATCAGGCTACCCTTGGCATAAGCAATGGAGATTCGATAATATCAGCTCTGAAGAATAAAAAGTCTTCGGAAACAATCAGCCTTCGATGAAAAGGTTTCAAAAATTCAGGCTTCAAGCGAACCTCCCGAGGTACTCAACTATCGTCACTTATCGACTCATAATCGAGGTTCTCGTTTGAGCCGTCGAAGAGTCGGAAGAACACAAAACATGCCAAAGAATAATCAAAACTTCAAAAGTCTTTAGCCAAAATGAGGGAAAATTATAGCCATATTAGAGGTCGCATCGACCCAATATAAAAAGAGCCTAAGGGCCAATGCGTAAGAGCCTAAGGGCCAACCTAAATAGCCTATGGGCCAATTTGTAAGAGCCTAAGGGCCAGCCTAAAGAGCCTAAGGGCCAATGCGTAAGAGCCTAAGGGCCAGCCTAAAGAGCCTAAGGGCCAATGCGTAACCTAAGGGCCAGCCTAAAGAGCCTAAGGGCCAATGCGTAAGAGCCTAAGGGCCAGCCTAAAGAGCCCAAGGGCCAATATGTTGAAAACCTAAGGGCCAATGAGCCTGAGTCAAAACTTGATTCAAGGACCAAGCCCTAAACAATCAACTATTATCAATTGTTCATTGAACACAACCTAAGGGTTCTTATCTAAAAGTCCAACATATCGGACTAACTGTCGGCGGGCATCAAAACTCAAAACATAAATAAAGACACAAGCAAGTGAGAATTTATATAAAGGGAAAACCAAAGGGTTCCTTTTTATTATAAACAATGGCACAAAGATACGTTTACAACGCTCCCGCGGGGAGCCCGATGCAAAGAACAAGAAATAAAATCTAATCTACTGCCGAGGTCACTTGACCATATGGAGCTCCCTCAGAAGTTGTGCCTTCAGCGGCTTGGCCCTTGACCCCCGGAGCATCAATGACCTCCTTCTCCTCAGGGACTTCACCCTCATCTTCATCATCCTCCGAGCCGCTGGTCGAACCACTGGTTGAACCATCATCGAAAGAAAGCAGAACTGTCGATTCTTCCTCTAGGGCCTTCACCCTCTTGATCTTAGCAGACAGATCGATGCCCCCTGCATAAACATCCTCGAGAGCCTATCTCCAAGATCTTAATCGGGCATGCTCCAGGGCTCGGGTCACTTCCAACTTGGCCTCTTCGGATGCCTTCCTGGCTCGAGCATTTGCAGCAGTAACATCTTTTCGGTATGAGGATATGAGCGCATCGACATCGAACTTAGCTGCAGATAGCTCAGCAACTGATTCAGCATGGAGATCTTTGTACTTACGGCTTTCTCCCTTTGCCCCTTGGAGTTGGTGCTCAACCGAGGTAAGCTTCTCTCGAAGAGTTTCTTTATTGGAGGACACTTCATCCATGCGTTGCTTCAGCCCAAGGATTTCAGTATCCCTGACTCTAAGATCCTCTCGCATTAGATCATCTCTTTGCTTAAGCTGAAAGAACCAAACTAAGGTATTTAACGCTCAATTGATTAAAGCATAGAAGTACGCTCACGAAGGTCATATTACCTGCTCCTCGAGATCGGTCCACTCTCGAGACATCCTCTCCAAATGTGCTCGAAGGTCACCTAGCTCCCCCTTCTTTTGGGCAGAAAGGGCCTTAAGCTCGTTCAATTCAGAAGCGAGCATCCTAAATTCATCCTCACAATGAGCCAACTCAGCTTGTGACTTAGAAAAGGCCTGGTTGGAGAGCATTAAGGCCAAAAAATACAAAGGAAGGGAGTCAGAAAAGCAAGAATCAAAACTCAAAATACAGTGGTCAAGTCAAGATTACCTATTTTCGAAGCTTCTCGGCTTCTTCGAAGATCAATGAGGCATCGATATTGGGTCATTCCTCAACCCCAGCAAAACAATCTTCAAACATATCATTCTCTCCGGGGGATGCCCCCACGACGGGAGTTTTCATGTCTTGGGCATCCCGTATTTGCCCAGGAGAGAATCATGGGCCCGACAGAGGCTCATCTACATTGATCACTCACTACAAGAAAATAGCCTATTACATGGGGATTTTTCAGGGAACTATAAAAGAAAATTCGCAAGTAATTCAGTTTCTTGCGGATTTTCCTTCCAAAAAAAATTCGAAGGAAAAACCTTCGTGGGTAATTAATACCTGCGGATTTTTGAAATCCCCAAGTAAGTTACCTGGGAATTGGAATCCGCGTGTAAATTAGCTGGGGATTTTAGATTTCCACGTAAATTAGTTGTGGATTTTTTGGTAAGAAATACCAAAAAATTGCATGAAACTTTTGGTAGAAGTTCACAAAAGAAAGAAGTTTTCTTGCGGAATTTCCTAGGGAAATATTTGCAAGTAAATTCCCATAAATTTTCAAATGAACTCTTTAGAAATATTTAGACAAACAATTATATTGTGATAATATTTTTATTTTCAGAATTATTATATCATTAAGGCAACCTTCTACATATATATTAGGATTCTGTTACGTATTACAAACAAACTTAATAGTACTCTTATCCAATATTTGGTAATCCCATATATCACATTAAAAGCCCACGTGTAGTCCACAACTGTTGGACCCTTTGGCACCAAACTCACATTATATTTTGGAAAAACTCACACTTTTTCGTCGATGTGGGACAAGTTCCTACGGAGCATTTATTTACTCCAAATTTATCCCTTTTATTATTGTTTTTTTAAGTGTGCATCACATGAAGATTCCATAAATCAAAAATAATTATTTTCAAGTAAAAACAAGTGAATAAAATTATGATTACATTTTTAATTTAAATATATTCTTAGTTATTTTTTCTAAAATTTTATTTATAGTCCTAAAATAACACATTAATTTTTATATAAAAAATATACTAACTAACAAGAATTAAACGTATGGTACATTCATTAAGCAATTGATAAGAATTGTTTTGTTAATTCCAACAACGTATGCAAGATTACATTATTTCAATAATGTTAGTATTAATCAAGAGATGGTGTTAGAAAATAGAATCATAAGATCACTTGATACTTAAGTTTCAATACCTTTTTTTACAAACTAATATCACATAAGCAACATACTATAAAATTGTCACGACCCAATTTCCAAACACGGTCGTGATGGCGCCTCTCGTGAAGACAAGGCCAGCCAACTAACCCAAATCGTCTCTTAACAATTTTTAAACATAATTGAATAGGTAAATACAGCTTAACGACAATCATAACCAGTATTTACAACCCAACACAACCCGACCGGGGTGTCACAAGTCACGAGCATCTAAAGGAACCTGATCACAACTACAGGGCCAATATTATACAAAATAAATTCTAGAATGCTAAAGACAACATCCGGTGCCGCGAACGTTGGCGGTCACCTTACTCAGCTACAATAGTAATACCTTCAATCAGGTAATAACCCGCTACCGGGTGAACAATACCTGCAACTGCACGCGAGGTGCAGGGAGTAAAGTGAGTACTTCCAACTCAGTGAGTAATAAGAGTAAATAATAACTGAGAGGCAAGAAATCACGTAAGAGCACTCCATCATGCTATATAGGACAGTACAACCCTTTGAGAAAACAGTAAAACCGTGAAAAATCCTTTAGAAAATATCTGGCTCAGTTTAAAACCTCTTTTGAAAATATCCTTTTCCAACAGTCAAGCAAATGAATGCGTAATCAGATAGTGCAAGTCCGCACATAAGTCAGCCCCTCGGGCACAACACTCCATCAAAAAATAACACCAGGGTATCTGGTAAACAGTGCAAGAAGTAGCATGGATGCCAATGATATGAGAGTGTTGAATGTCATGACACGTAGTACAAACAGGAATCAATGCATGAATGCAATGCAATGCACATGACCGTTGCGGCGTGCAGCCCGATCCATTTGGGTACCCGCGCTCACTGTGGGGGTTCAGACTCCGGAGGGGCTCCTACAGCCCAAGCGCACTATCATCATAGTATCGCTGCGGCGTGCAGCCCGATCCATCCTCAGTCCAGAACATGCAAATGAACCGCTCGGGCAATGTCATGTAATAGTTTTTAACTCAAAACATCAGAAAAATACAATTTAAGTCTTTAAACTTTAACAATATGACTGCACATTTCAAAACAGGATTTAACTCAGGGCTGAAATCATTTAATATGCTAAGTGTCATGAAAACAGTGATAATAATCCCTAAAGGGTTTAAATAATCGGCACGAAGCCCAAAACATGGCAATCGGCCCAAATCACGATAGCATCAAGCAGGTTTTAGTCAATTATGCAGTAAAATCAACAACCGGGACGGACCAAGTCACCATCCCCAACGGTGCTCTACCCCACGCTCGCTATCCGGCGTGCAAGTCACCTCAATACAGCACTATGATGTGCAAACCCGGGGTTTCAAACCCTCAGGATATCATTTACAAGTATTACCCACCTCGAACCGGTGAAATCCCTAGCTCGCGACGCCTTTGCCCCTCGAATCGGCCTCCACGCGCGTCGAATCTAACCAAAATCAGAGCGAATACATTACAATATGCTAAGGGAACAATACCCAATCGAAAACAATCGAAAATTAGCAAAAATTACGAAAATAGCAAAACCCGAGCCCCGGGCCCGCTTCTCGAAAAATTACAAAAATCAAATCACTTGTCTCGCCACGAGTCTATACATATCAAATTTACCAAAATCGGAGTCCATTTGACCCTTCAAATTCCATTTTTAAATTACCAATTCTCAAGCCCTAGCTTTACCCCCTTTTGATGAATTTCAACCAATTTCCATGTTAAATATATCATAATTTCATGTATTTAGGCCAAGGAACTTACCTCCAATCACACCTAGTCGAAATCCCCCTTCAATTCCGTCCAATAGCTCTCAAGCTCGCTTAAAAATGGTGGAAATAACATAAGCTTCGCGGAACAAAAATGAATATAAAAACCCTTCATCCAGCTATAATTTCCTTCTATGCGATCGCGGCCCTAGGCTCGCGATCGCGATGAACAAATTCCCAGGACTTCAAAACCGTTCTATGCGAACGCGACAGGGGCTCCGCGATCGCGATGCTTTGCTTTCCAAACCTACGCGAACGCGGCTCACATAGTGCGAACGCGTAGAATAAAAACATGCTGACCCCAGAATCCTCTTATGTGAACGCGGGATGTACCACGCGAACGCGAAGCTTCACCTTCCAGTGCTATGCGAACGCGACTCAAAGGCTGCGATCGCGAAGGCCAATTTCCCCTCTGCAATAACTGCTGAAACCTGCAACTTTTAAGAGCCAAACTTGGTCCGATTGACCATCCGAAATCATCCCGAGGCCCCCGGGACCTCAACCAAAAGCACCAACACATCCTAAGACATCATTCAAACTTGATCCAATCATTAAAACACATCAAATAACGCTAAAACCATCAAATCACATCGGATTCAAGCCTATGTTCTTCAAAAACTTCCGAAACACGCATTCGATCAAAAACCCGACCAAACGACGTCCGAATGACCTGAAATTTTGCACACATATCCAAAATCACCTAACGAAGCTACAGCAACTCTCGGAATTCCATTCTGACCCTCGGATCAAAATCTCACCTATCAACCGGATTTCACCAAAATACTAACTTCGCCAATTCAAGCCTAATTCTACACTGGACCTCCAAAATCGCTTCCGACCACGCTCCTAAGTCACAAATCATCCCCCGAAGCTAACCGAATCACCGAAAATCACATCCGAACCTTCTCACTCATAAGTCAACGTCCGGTTAATTTTTTTCCAAATTAAGTCTTCCTTAAAGAGACTAAGTGTCTCATTTCTTATCAAAATCAGTCCAAATCAACTCCAACACACCACATACCGATAACGAAACATGAAGAAGCATAAAATGAGGGAAACGAAGCAGTGACACATGAGACGACGGGTCAGGTCGTCACAAAAATTAAATTTCATCATTCTAACTATACATGGGAGAAAATAAGATATGTAAGATAGAAAGTTAATAAAATTAGTTAAAATTTTTTCTGCTTAGAACTTCAACTTAAATTGTTCACTTATACGCAACTTAGTATATTTTTTATGATATTAGCTTTATTACATCCTTTATATCAATCATATCATCATGATTCTTAAAATAACTAGATTTATGATAATTAATTTTTTATGAATTTGTTCAAAAAATAACAACCAGTTTGTCACAACCCAAAATCCACTAAGGGTCGTGATGACGCCGGACACTGCTGTCAGGCAAGCCAACCAAGTTACTTAATCAAATTCTCGTTTTAGTACTTCTGAAATCTAATATTTTCCTTCAAGTTTTGCAAAATTAAAGAATATAGTCTCAAATCAAATTTAAATGATAAGCAGTTAATACAATACTTCAAACTATCCCAAAACCCGGTGTCACAAGTGCATGAGCATCTACTGATAAGGAAGTAAAATACAACATCCGTCCGGAATACAATGGACAGGAAATAAATACAATGTACTGAAGAGGGCTATACTAGCTGCGGGCCGCCTCGAATAGTGCAACTCACCTAGCCCCCAAATCATCCGCGCTGCTACGCCCAGTGGGCTGCTAGAAATAAATATACATGTACAACAAAATGCACAGAAGTGTAGTATGAGTACGTAAACAACGTGTACTCAATGAGTATCCCGCCTAACCTCGAAGAACTAGAGACGAGATGGTCAACTTCGACACTTACTAGAGGTCAATTGACAATATACTAAGAATGTGAGGAAATCATGGATTTATATAGCAGTT